GAGGAAGTGTGCTCAGCTCTCGCCATTCCATACGGCCTCATTTTATGACACCATGTACTGGCTCAAACTGGCGCGAGCAGCTATCAGATTGGAATTCCCACCTACTGTACTACTTCTCGAACTCTCTCAGTGTGCGGCACCACGCACGCCCAGCCAGCTGAATGCGTTCTCGCAGCCTTTCGAGCCCACCCAGAGCATTGTCCAAGGGCTCAGATCGGGGACGAGGCTGGCGAGGACCAGGACTTCCTACGTTATGCAGCGTATCAGCACAGCTCAGGTACGGTGCAGCCATCGTTTGTGGATCGACGACCTGTCGCAGGCCACTAAGGGCTCGCGAGAGGAAGTGCGATCGAACCTCATCAAATGTATTTCGGCTACGGCAGCAGGACTGAGGACTCAGAGGCTGTCTATTGCTTCTAAGTCAGTGGCCATGTGCTCTCATCATGGCGACGCGAAGGCGGTGGTCAAAGCTCTGAGACTCCGTGGTGTCTCCATATCTGCAGCCCGTCAGTCTTCCTACTTAGGGGTGGATTTGGGTGCAGGGCGTCGGCATGCTCGAGAGCAACGATCGAAGCGGAACGCCAGGCATGTTCTTCGGAACAAAAAGGTGGTCCGCTACACTCGAGTTATTCGGAGATCCCGCCTGACTTCCAAGTTGGAGCGTCAAGGGGCCCAAGCTGCAGGGAGTTATGGGTATCAACTACACGGAGTGGTGGGGTCTCATCTTACGGCATATCGGTGCAGGCTTGGGGCCGCAGGTTGTGGCAAGACTCGAGGGCGGTGCTTGACCACTCTCCTGGCAATTAAAGCTCCCAATCTCGACCCAGCGGAGAAGTTCGCAGCAGGAACTTTTGAGTTATGGTTGCAGCAGTGGAGGGATGAGCCCCAACTTCGAGCCGCAGTTCTTCGCGCATGGCCCAAGGTTAGGGCCAAGATGGAGAGTATCCCAGAGGCATCTCGCAGCCGGCACATACGAGGGCCGATGTCGGCCATCATTTCTTACATGTTGGGGTTCGGATGGATCCCGAGGACCCCCGCGTCATGGGAGCCGCCTGGAGATTTCAAATGGGAATTCCCAGATGAGAACTTCACTGGCATTCCAGCGTTGGATAGTTTCAAAGAGTTCATTGACGAGGTGAAGGTCGCTGCGATGGTTCCTTTCTGGCAACGAGCCGAGCTTCACCACGACGGAGACGGCTTGGGGCAAGGTCTGGATACGTACTCTCTCCGACGACTACTCCAACAGCTCCGAGGTGCGCGACCTGGGGGGCCGCGTCTTGCAGGCCTGCTCTTGAACACCGCGATCGGTGCTGCCTGGCGTAAGGCTAGGAAGGTGGGTCAGCTGAAGCCCCCAGGGCGCGCGTGTCCAGTGTCGTCTGATGCTGGCCACTCGGGCGCTGCTTCAGGTGGGCCTACGAGCCACGATGTTCATCAGCAGATGACGACATCGGGAGTTCGACCAGTGGCCACCAAAATGAGCGGCAACCACGACCCGTTCGAGGACATCGAGTTGAGCATCGGCGAGAGTCAGCCCTATCAGAGTGGGGCGTCGAGTGCACCACGACGGAGCGCGCGGCAGGACAGTCATTTCAATGTGAACTGCGACCGTTGCGGGGAAGGTCCCGAGACTTCATATTACAGGTACTGGAGTTGCCCTCATAATAGAGATGCAGTTGCATATGCCAACAGCGAGTGTCTCGAGGGGGAGGCCAGAACGCAGCACGAGATGCACGCTTGTTTCTGGCACAGGGGTCTTATACCAGCCGCTTGGGCCAAGACCCCTGAGCTCCCGCAGGAACATTCTTGGACATGTGGTGGTCTGAATGACGGTGTGTTTGAAGGATGTCTGCCCATGGGCACTGAGTCCGACCCCACAGTCATTTTCGGAGATGCAAGTGGTGGCCCAGATACTGCAGACAGCAGTTTACGGAGGGTCGCGCTAGGGATCGCCACTGTCGCCAACTACGTCGACCCACAGGTTGAGTGTTTCATCACTGGACCGTTGACAGGACCTCGACAGGTTGTTGGTCGGGGTGAGCTTCGGGGGCTGTGGCTAGCCATCTGGGCCACTCAAGGCCCCATTTTGTATGTGACGGATTGTGAGAATGCATGCAAGGGCTGGGTTTCCAAGGCCTATCTACACCACAGAGGAGAAGACGGAGACGAATGGGCCCGCATCGGCCAACTACTTATGCATCGGTCACCTGAGTTAGTGCAGGTCAAGTTCGTGAACTCACACCTCACCGCCGAGGATGTCATGAACCATCGTGCTGAATCGTGGCTAGTGGTTGGAAATACTATCATCGACGAGCTGGCGCAGCCCTGGCCGCTCGACTTCCAGCGGCAGTACGAAATGAAGTGCTACAAGTCGAACGACGAGCACACCTGGTACGGCATAGGCTTCTGAGAGCCTCGCTGGACGTCTTGGCAGCTGAGGCCGAGACGGGGGTGAAGAGCACGGCGGGACTTCCACCTCCTCCTCCCCCTCCTCCGCCTGCCCAGTCTGTAGTAGCCACAATGTGGTCCCAGCACGTGCTCGATGATTCGGGTCTTCGCTGTTCCAGGTGTTCCAGTTCTGCTATCCAGGCTCGGGCCACCGAATGGAAACTTTCCCCCTGCTTTAAGCCTCTGAACGTGAATGGGGATTTCTGTAGGCTCCCATTTAAGCAGAAGCTTCACCTCGCGGGGGGCTGGGCGCACGAGACCCACCAACTTATGTTAAGCGTGCGTTTAAGTTTGTGGTTCTGTGGAGTGTGTGGATCCTTTTCCAACAAGCGTAAGTCCGCCATCCAGGAACCCTGTTCGAAGAAGGCCACAAACACGGGGGCTGAATATCTGAGGAGGATCCACTCGGGACAGTGGCCGAAGGTCTTGAGCAAGGCCGAGCAGGCCTGCCGACAGGCCAACCCGAGGAGGAAGCCCCTCTCCCCCATTTAAGGCCCTTTTTTTCCTCTCGCTTAGTGAACTGACATTATCATTCTCATTCTCCTCCTCCTCCTCCTCCTCCCTCCTACCTTCTCCCTCCTCCCTCCTGCCTCCTGCCTCCTCCCTCCCCCCTCCTCCCTCCTCCCTCCGCCCTCCGCCCTCCGCCCTCCTCCCTTCGCCCTCCGCCCTCCGCCTTCCCTCCTCCCTCCTCCCGCCTCCCTTCTCACTCCTCCCTCCTCCCTCCTCCTCCTCCTCCTTCCTCCTCCTCCTCCCCTCCTCCTCCTCCTCCTCCTCCTCCCTCCTCCTCCGCCCTCCTCCTCCTTCTCCTCCTCCTCCTCCTTCTCCTCCTCTCCTCCTCCTCCCTCCTCCCTCCTCCCTCCTCCCTCCTCCCTCCCCCCTCCTCCCTCCTCCCTCCGCCCTCCGCCCTCCGCCTCCGTCCTCGTCCTCCGCCTCCTCCTTCTCCTCCTCCTCCTCCTCCTCCGCCTCCTCCCTCCTACCTTCTCCCTCCTCCTCCTCGCCTCCTGCCTCCTCCCTCCCCCTCCTCCCTCCGCCCTCCGCCCTCCGCCCTCCTCCCTCCGCCTCCGCCCTCCCGCCTTCCGTCCTCCCTCCTACCGCCTTCCTTCTCACTCCTCCCTCCTCCCTCTCCTCTCTCCTCCTCCGCCTCCTCCTCCTCCTCCTCCTCCTCCTCCTCCTCCTCCTCCTCCTCCTCCGCCCTCCTCCTTCTCCTCCTCCTCCTTCTCCTCCTTTTCCTCCTCCTCTCCTCCTCGCGCAACGCTGTTGCTCCGCTTGGGTCCTGCTTGTCCTCGTCCTCCTCCTCCGCCCGTCCTCCTCCTCCTCCTCTCCTCCTCCTCCTTCCTCCTCCTCCTCCTCCTCCTCTCCGCCTCCCTCCTCCTCCTCCCTCCTCCTCCTCCTCCTCCTCCTCCTCCTCCTCCTCCTCTTCCTCCTCCTCCTCTTCCTCCTCCTCCTCCTCATCCGCCCTCCTCCTCCTTTTCTTCCTCTTCCTTCTCCTCCCCTTTCCTTCCTCCTGTTACTCATATGTGGCCTTCCCTCCAGGCCTCCACTCCTGTGGGTCGCGGGAGACCGCCGCGCGTCGCGCCGGGGCGCGAGCTGGCGCGGAGCCTGGCAGCGTTACAGGGGGGCTCAAGATTCTGGACGCCGGAAATGGGTACTGAAAGAATGGGTACTATGCCCAACAACAATTCCTCTTCATTTTGAACAAGATCCGCTGTCCACGCCGCCGCGGCCTGTGTCCATTCGAGACAGGAGGCCGCCTGCCCAACAGCGGCCGCTGTTGGTTCGGGACAACATTTGCTGTTGGGCATAGTGCCCATTCTTTCCGTACCCATTTCGGGCGTCCAAATGGCAGCGTTACAGGGGGGGGGCCCAAGATGCCCTCGCCAGGCCCGGGGATGAAGTCGGGCATGTCCCTCTTCAAGAGTGATTGAAAGCAACAACAACAACAACAACAACAACGACGACGACGACGACGACGACGACAACAACAACAACAACAGCAACAACACCACCAACAACAACGACAACGACAACTACAACAACAACACCAACACCACCAACAACAACAACAACAACAACAGCAACAGCAACAGCAACAGCAACAACAACAGCAACAGCAACAGCAACAGCAACAGCAGCCACAACCAACAACCAACAACCAACAACCAATTGTCAACCACCAACCACAACAACAACAATAACAACAACAACAACAACAACAACAACAACAACAACCACAGCAACACCAACAACAGCAGCAACAACAACAACACTCACAACAGCAACAACAACAAACTGGTCTGGGGACGACGTTTCGACGGTGTGTGGGTCATTTTCTGATCATGGTTTGACTGTGCTCTGTTTGTCTTCCACAATCCGCCTGGAGGAGGACATGCCCGACCTAACCCCAGGACCGTCTGGATGCGGCTCAGGAGGAGCCTCTGGCCCCAGGGGAGGGGTCTAAACCTCCAGGGGTCGACGCTGCACGGCCAGGGCGCTTCCAAGAGTGGGCCTCGTCGCCGAGCGATAGCGGAGCGGTGATCTTGCCCGCCCGCGCATAGGACCGCGCGCTGGCCGCCAGCATGTCGGTCACTGGCAGGGGCTCGTGCCCGTGCCGCCCTCGGACGGGAGGAGGGGAGGGGGGGGGGCGGCGGAGGAGGCGAGCGCTCGGGGGCAACGCTAGGGGGGGACGGGCCCAGTGGGGCGGGCGCATCGACACCCGATCGCCCACTGATCGCCGATAGGGGCCCGAACCTGCCCAGGAGGGTGCGGACTCACCATCGGAGGCCAGTCGCCGATCTATCGGCGGCGTGTCCCCGAGTCCAGGTCGGTGCATCCATGTCAGTCCCCCCCCTAGCGTTGCCCCTCAAGCGCTCGCCCCGAGCGGAAAGGAGGCCGCAGTCGGCCGCCCCGAGCGGCGACGGCGGCGGAGGGCGGCGGCGGCGGCGGCGGCGGCGGCGGCGACGACGACGACGACGACGACGACGACGACGACGACGACGACGACCCAGATCGGTACGATCGGAACGGGCGCGGAAAGAATGGGCACGAAGACCTGCAGCGGTGCCCAGATAGAGGTATCCCCGTACAGTTGCCCTCGCCTTCTTTGCGCCGTTTAGGGGGGGGGCTCCTGGGAGGCCCTCTCGGCGCCACCGCTGGATTGGCCTCAAAAGTTGTGGTCTGAGCGCACCCCGGGAGAGGTCCAGGGAGCAGCGGTATTGGCACTTGTTGCCTTCCCCATACCCGTCGGTCGTTTAAAGTGGGTATTTCTGGACTCCCAGATCCCAATCAACTTCAAGCGCCTTCCTATTTAGGAGTCAATATGCCTGCGCTAAATCCCTGCACGGTGTTTTGTTCTTCTCTGGGGGGGCGTGAGCCAGATTTTGTGAGCCGCCTTCCCACTTCATGTTTTTGCCCGGCTGGAGTGTAAGGGATGGTACCCGATCGGGGGCGGCATAGAGGGGGGTGATGACTAGGGGGGTGGATATCATGGCGTGGGTCATGATGTTTCCTCAGATTTCATGGTGCCTCTTCTTATTTCATTACGTCCCCGCCCCCCCCCCCCCTGGGCCGCGCACATGCCGCCGGCCATGATTTGCGCCCCCCCCCTCTTGGACGCCCCCCTCTTGGCCGCCCCCGACCCTAGGATGTGCTGCGCATCCCAGGGAGGGTACCCTTAGATGTGTTGTGTTGGTTCTGGACCGACTGAGGGTCTCATGTTCTTGAGGGATCGGTCTGAGCGCCCCCCCTTCCTTCCCCCGCGCGGCCGCTTCGTCTTTTGCCTTCCCCTTGCACGCCGGTCAATTTGCATTTCGGTTGTCCCGATTAGCCACACGCTCGAGCGGACTGCATCTGCCTCGCCGCCGACGACAAGGAAGTTCTTGAGGGATGTTCTTCTGGCATAGGTCCGACGATAGCGATATTGGTGCCTCTTGCCTTCCCCACACCCGTGCCGCACAGCCTGAGCCTGAGAGTTGCCCTTGTCAGGAGGAGGAGGAGGAAGGAGGGGGAGGAGGAGGAGGAAGAGAAAGGGGAAATGGAGCACTCTCCAAATATTCGCTCTTTGGGGGTCGTCGCGGGCGTGGCCCACCCGAGCCTCCGGCGGCGAGATGGCGGCGGCGGCGCAGACACTGCTATGCCGCATGGAAGAGGCATCCCCGAGAGGCCAGAGGAGGAAATTGTACTCCGAGGCCGACAGCCCCACATCGACCCCCGTCGCGGGCAGCCACCGCTCGCCGAAGGCGCTGCGACCCCCCTCGCGGCGCGACGACGTGGCCAGGTTGACCCCCGTCAGGGGGGTACCTCCCCGAGTGCATTAAGAAACCCAGAGTGCCCATACCGCTACCCTACCCTGGTTTCGTTTTCCCCTCTGGAAGGCCTCTTGGGAGGCCCTCGTCGCTACGGCTGGATTCGCCTCGAAGTGTTGGCCAGGACGCACCTCGGGAGAGGTTTGGGGAGTGGCGGTGTTGGTACCTATTGGTTTCCCCAGGAGGCTTGTCCTAGGGGGGGTTGTCCAGTGTGGTTGTCCAGATCCCCTGTGGGTTGTCCAAGGGATTGTCTAGAGCAATCAGGCCGTCTTGTCTTCATTTATCAGGTTGTCCAGGTTGTTTGGGGGGGTCCGTTTTCGATTGGATCCTCCTTCCAATTGAACATCGTACGTCGCCCTCAGGGGCGCGACGAGACTCGCGCGTCGCGCGCCGCGGCTTGGGTTGGAGGGGCGCCCTTCTCCAGGGCGGCGGCGCGAGGGCGCGGAGAGAGCCCCGCTTCGCTGGGCGCGGTGCGCGCGAAGTGGGGTGGGACCTCGACGGCGGCGGCGGCTTCGACGACTGCCACCGCCGCCGTGCGTCGCTGTGCTCCGCCCCCTGGAAGCCTCCCGGGAGGCTCCTGGGATTACCAGTTTGAAACATATCCCTATCCCTGTGTTTGACATCACCTCACCTCGATGCTGATCTTGAGGATTCCCTCAGTTTCTGAGGGCCCATCCCTGAGATTGTCCTCGCTTTTTGCTCGCCCATCTCAGGGATAGGGATACGTTCGAGGCTGGTTATGGGAGGCTGGCCGGCGGCTCGGATCCTCGGAGGCCAACCGGTGGGCGCCAGACGGCTCCCGCCTCGCCCCATCGGCCTGCGAGCTGCGTGGTCTGCGCTCTCGCCGCCGGCCGCGGTCACGAAACGGCGACGGCGGCGGCGCCAGGGCTGGGACGTTCAAGCAGTGGCGAAGCGTCTCGGTTTGCCTGTAGGCCCGCGCAAGAATCTTTTTAAGAGCCTTGTAAGGTTTGCACAAGAGTATTCTTGGAGCCGATCTGCTTGCGACAGTCGTGAATGAAGCAAGCGGTGCTCTAGCCTGAGAGTGTTCTGGTTGGCATCCGGTTATTATTCTACAAGCTGGCCTCACATCCGCCGACTAGCGAGTATACAAATTGACGCCCGTTTATTTGAGTAGCGAGCTGGGGCGCATCGTGCCGGCATGCCAAGCAGCCGGCCGGGCCGCAACCTTCTCGGGCTGCGTCTGGCCCATTTGCCCTTCGTGCTGGCATGCCAAGCAGCCGGTCGGGCCGCAACCCTTTGCGGGTGGGTGGCTTGGTCGATCAGGATTGTTACACCTGACATTATTTGGGGCCCCTGATGCCAAGCTACCCCCTTGCCAGGCTGCCTGAGACGAACAAGTTGACCCCAAGACGGCGCCCAAGACGGCCCCAAGAAGCCACGATCATTGAATTCATCCGGGAAGACGTACATGTTTTTCATATGCGACTTGTCGGCCTTCACGGCTTTGAAGACGGCCCAAGAGGTTCCCCAGACTTGCCCAAGAGAGCCTAAGACATTCCCAAGAGGCCCCCAAGACAGCCCACGAGAGTGCCAAGACGGCCCAAGGGCTGCCAAAGACTGCCCAAGTTAGCCCCAAAACGGGCCCGAAGAAGGCCCAAGAAGGCCCCGAGCCGCTCAAGACTGCCTAAGATGGCCCCAAGAAGGTCCAAGAAGGCTCCGAGACGTCCCCAAAGGCCTCCAAGAGCACTCCCAAGAGGATCCTTAGAGACCGCATTCGTTACATTCCTGTCGGCGAAACGCACCTTTCAAGCATGCAAGATTTGGGGCCCAAGCGAACCGAAGACGCTCCCAAGAGGCCCCCAAGATAGCCAAAAGGGCGCCAAGACGGCCCAAGGGCCGACTAAGACGGCTCCAGGAGTGGTTCAAGAGGGGGATTCCGACTCGAAAGTAGCAGCCCTCCGCCCAAAGAATTTCCCAGGAGGCCCCAAAAGTCGCCAAGAGGACCCAGGAGGTCCCTAAGAGACCCCCAAGCGGCCCAATCGAGGCCCCAAGATGGTTCAAAACGGATAGGACGGCCTACAAGAGGTCTCCCAAAGGGGTCCGGAAAGGTCTTCTTGCGGATCCGAACATACACAGCTATACGACGACGACGACGATTCCTTGGCCCATTCTTAGGTTGCCGCGGAATGGCTTCAGGAGGTCTTGGAAATCACTTGAGCCGTTGGCGTAGTTCTTGGGTTCCCCAGAGGGATTGGTCACACAATAAAGGTCTTCAAAGTTCGACCGTGAAGCCCAGCTAGAACCTAAGCGCGCGCGAAGCGCGCGCGTGGTTCTAGTATGTATATGTGTATATATATATATATATATATATATATATATATATATATATATATATCATACGCACCTCTCCGAGGGAGTAGAGCTCAAAGGCGACTAATGCGTACGCGCCGCGTTTGCTAATTTTCTGGCCGTTTCGCTATGGACATCCTCGAAACTTTGAAAATCGGTGGCCCCTCTTACGCAGATCGTGACGTCAGGGTCCAAAACACATGGGAATTTCAACATTCTAACATTAGACCTTCAACAACACATTGTGATTTCAATGATTTTGACCCCGATTATCCGATAATGGCGGTTTCACTTGAGACATCCTCCCAACATCGAGCCCCGACGTACCTTCTGGTACCCTAGACCCCGCCTCGGTGCCCAGACCCCACATCGGAGCATCCTGGGGGTCTCCTGGAACCTCCTGGGGCCTCCTGGGGCGTCCTGCGGCCTCCTGGAACCTCCTGGGGCCTCCTGGAGCCTCCTGGGGTCTGCTGGGGCCTCCTGAGGCCACCTGGGGCCTCCTGGGGCCTCCTGGGGCCTCAGAACTACATGCACACACAGAGACACAAATCACACCCAACACATCACACGCTAGACAAACATAGCACACACAACACTTACAACGCACAGAAAACACGCACAACACAGAGCACACATCACACACACACACACACACACAACACTCACAATCCTGGGGCCTCCTGGAGCCTCTTCCGGTATCCAAGTCGGGCCTCCTGAGGCTTCCTGGGGGGCCCTGGTACACACATCGCAAGGTGTGGCAACCCCACTTGCGCTCGAGTGCGACCTCGCTCTTGCATTTCACTCCCTGCCACTTTCGCCTGCGACATCCTCGCAACTCTAAACCTCGGAGGTGTCCTGCCTCATGGAGGTCCGGCCACTTTCGCCATCCACGCAACTCTGGGTTCCGAGATGCCCTGAAGTAAGGTGGTTCAGCCACTTCCGCCTGAGACATCCCCGCAACTCTGGACTCCCAGATGCCCTGTCCCGTGGTGATCTGACCATTTACGCCTGCGACGTCTTCGCACTTCTTGGTTACAAGATGCTCTGAACTCAGGTGTTCAGGCCACTTTCGCCTGAGACAGCCTCGCAACTCTGGGTTCCGAGATGCCCTGAGCTGAGGTGGTCAGGCCACTTTCGCCAGAGACATCCTCGCAACGCTGACCTCGGAGAGGCATTGCCCTCGTCGATCCTCCTGCTCGATCCCCAATCCGTTGGGGGGGCTCTTGCTCGATCTTAGATTCTTCTGCGTTCACCTCCTGCCTCTTCCCCTTCTGTTAGGCACGCCCTGGCGGCGCCGCCCCAGCTTCCCCTTCTCCACCTCCGATCCCGTCGTAATGGTGCCTTCCTGGTTCAAGCGCCCTTTTAGTTTTTTTGGTATGAGCCTGGGCACACACGTGCCACTTGTGTGTGTATGTATGTGTGTGCATATATATATATATATATATATATATATATATACCCGTGCACGAGGCCCGGGCGCCCGGGGCCTGGGCCACGGGGAGGCATGGGAGGACGGGGGCCTCTGGGCCCCCCCCGCGACAGCCCCTGACAGCCCCGAGACGCCACCCGAGGGCCCCAGGAGGTCTCCAAACGTCCACGCGGGCCCAGAATCCCCGAATCGTCGCTCCAAGACGCCGAAGATGGCTCCCAGACGGCCTCCGGGAGCCCCCACGACTGCCCAAGAGTCCCCCAAGAGAATTCCCAAGAGCGCATTCAGAAGCAAAAAATCACCACATTCCCTTATTGGAACTCGTTTGTTTTTTAACGATATTCACATCTTCGGCGTCGACCGCCTCGAAGACTTCCCCAGGAGCCCACAACATCGCCCCAAGACGGCCAAAGGGAGTTCCAAGAGGTCTCCACGACAGCTTAAGAGGGGCTCTCGATTGTCCAGCAGGCCCCCAAAGACGGTCCCCGAGGGCCCCGGGGGGGCCTTTGGGGCCGCCCCGAGACAGCCCCAGACATCGGGGGCGGAAAAGAGGGGGGTGATGACTAGGGGGGGGTGGATATCATGGCGCGGGCCATGATATCTCCGCAGATTTCATGGCGCCTCTTCTTATTTCATTACGTCCCAGGCCCCCCCGCTGGGCCGCGCACATGCCGCCGGTCATGATTTGCACCCCCCCCTCTTGGACACCCCCCTCTTGGCCGCTCCCGAAGACAGCCCCGAAACGCCACCCGAGAGTCCCAGGAGGTCTCCAAACGTCCAAGGCGGCCCAGAGTCCTCGAATTGTCGTTCCCAAGACGGCCTCTGGGAGCCCCCACGACAGCCCAAGAGTTCCCCAAGAGGACTCCCAAGAACGCATGCAGAAGCAAAGATGGCCCCATACCCGTCGGAAACCGCACATTCTCACGAAGTTCACCGCTTCGGCGTCGACCGCGTCGAAAACGGCCCCAGGAGCCGACAAGAACGCCCCAAGACGGCCAAAGAGAGTTCCCAGAGGTTTCCAAGACAGCTTAAGAGGGGCCCTCGACTGTTCAGGAGGGCCCCAAGACGGTCCCAGAAGGCCCCCGGGGGCTTCTGGGGCTCCCCCGAGACAGCCCCAGACAGCCCCGAAACGCCACCCGAGGGTCCCAAGAGGTCTCCAATCGTCCACGAGGGCCCAGAATCACCGAATTGTCGCTCCAACACGCCGACGACGGCTCAAAGACGTCCTCGGGGAGCCCCCAAGAGTCCCCCAAGAGGATTCCCAAAGAGCGCCTCCAGAAGCAAACTTGGCCCCATTCCCTTTGGAAAACGTCCTTCTTAAGAAGTTCACCGCTTCGGCGTCGACCGCGTCGAAGACGGCCCCAGGAGCCGACCAGATCGCCCCAAGACGGCCAAAGAGAGTTCCAAGAGGCCTCCAAGACGGCTCAAGAGGGGCCCCCAAGACGGTCCCGCAGGGCCCCAGTACAGCTTCCCCACACGGCGCCGAGGGGTACCCCACCCGACATTTCGAGCCATCCCCAAAAAGCAACCCGGAGACCCCAAGAAACCTCCAAGAGCCTCCGAAAGAAAATCCACGCAGGCCCCACGGGGCCGCCAGGAAGCCCCAGGAGGCTCCCAAGAGCCCTCTCCCCAGACGCCCTGAGGTACTCTGGCCGATCCCGAAGCTTCCGGACGGCTCTCGACATCCTGACGCCCCCAACGGGCCCGGGGACCGGCAAACATTTAGGACGAAATTCCGTGCCTATGGAAGGTCTCCGGATCTTGGGGCCATTCCAGGGGTCGTCGACGTCGTCGTCGTCGTGTTGGTGGCGGTCGTCGTCGTCGTCATCGTCGTCGTCGCCTTCGTTGTCACTCGTCGCCGCCCCTGTCGTCGTCGTCGTCGATGATCACACGTTCGAATCAGAGAGCATCAAAACGTGTCGCGGCCGTGACTAGTACCTAAGCGCGCGATGCGCGCGCATTTTTCTATGTATATATCTGTACATACATAAACATGTGTATGCTCTTGTGTATGTAAATATATGCGTAAGCAGTCATATATGTTCTGTGTACCTATATATATATATATATATATATATATATATATTAAAAATGTACAAATATGTAAGTATGGGCCGGGCCGCTGCCTGTTCCCCCAATGGGTGCCCGCTGGAGTTTGCGGGGGTGTTCCAGAGCTCCCGAGGCGGCCCCGGCCCGCCCCGAAGCAGGCCACGACAGGCTAAGGAAGTTCAGGACGGACTCAAGAGGCTGCCCAAGAGGGCCCTGGGAGGCAAAACCCAATCATGTTCCGAAGGGTTCTTGAAGGATTTGGGAATTCTCGCTTTTCCTGCTTTTCAGCGCTCCCCCGCGTCGTCGACGGCCCAAGAGGCCCCGAAGAGGGCCCCAAAACGGCCCAAGAGGCTCCCGAGACAACCCAAGTGTGCCCCAAGAGCGCCCCAAGAGGGGGCCCAGAGGGGTCCCGAGGCGGCCTGGGCCCGCCCCGGAACAGGCCACGACAGGCTAAGGGGGTCCCGCGAGGGCCCAAGACGGTCCCAAGAGGCCCCGAAGACGCCCGAGATGCCCTCAAGACAGCCGACGAGGACACCAACACGCTCCAGGGCTCCAGGACGGACTCAAGAGGCTCCCCAAGAGGGCCCTGGGAGGCAAAATCCAATCATGTTCCGAAGGGTTCTTGAAGGATTTTGGCGTTCTCGCTTTTCCTACTTTTCAGCGCTCCCCCGCGTTCTCGGAGGCCCTTTCAGATCGCTCCAAGACGGCCCCAGAGGCCCCTAAGAGGGCCCCAAGACGGCCCAAGAGGCTCCCGAGACAACCCAAGTGTGCCCCAAGAGCGCCGCAAGAGGGGCCCAGAGGGGTCCCGAGGCGGCCCGGGCCCGCCCCGAAGCAGGCCACGACATGCTAAGGGGGTCCCGCGAGGGCCCAAGACGGTCCCAAGAGGCCCCGAAGACGCCCGAGATGCCCTCAAGACAGCCGACGAGGACTCCAACACGCTCCAGGACGGACTCTTGAGGCTCTCCAAGAGAACCCTGGGAGGCAAAATCCAATCATGTTCCGAAGGGTTCTTGAAGGATTTGGGAATTCTCGCTTTTCCCGCTTTTCAGCGCTCCCTCACGGCCTCGGAACTCCGGCTGAAAGGAACCCCCAGGAGCAAGCCCGTCGATACCCCTTGCCTGCCCCCAGCCCCGATGAGTCGGGAGGTTTGGACGCCCAAATTATCCAGGGTAATTGCGGTCCGGGGCAACTCCAGCTGGGAACCCCGAGGCGCGAATATGTAGCTACCCCTGACCTGCCACCAGTCCTGATGATTAGGAGCTCTGAGAGCAGATCGCAAGGGGTCGGCGGACTTGACTTTCAAAGGCAATCCACGGTGGGCCGGGCCCCTCAGCAAAACGTGCAAAACACACATAGACGTTTGGCGTTCCGCGCGGATTTCTTGGATCGGCGCTGGATCCCCCTCACTGGCGCGCGGAGCGCGCCAGGAGCGGCGCCAGAGGCGCCGCCCGGGGGGCCCAGCGCCGACCCAAGAAGTCCGCGCGGAGGGCCGAAAGTTGATGGTTGTGCCGCCTGTGCTCGTCTGCTGTAAAAAATCCGAGATGGCCGGTCCCTGCCGAAGACGTGGGCCTCGGGGGAGCGGGCCGAGGTCCTGCCGCAGCGCCATGCGGGTCAGCTTCGACGCCGACTCGGGTCACCCTCGCGCGCCGCCCTCCGCCTGGGTAAGCGCCGCCGCCGCCGCAGTCCTTGCCCTCCCTCTCCTTATCCTCCTCCTCCTCCTCGTCCTCGTCCTCCTCCTCCTCCTCGTAATCATCATCAGCAGCAGCATCATCATAATTAGTCATCTTCATCATCATCATCATCATCATCATCATCATCATCATCAGCATCATCATCCTCATCCTCATCCTCCTCCTCCTCCTCCTCATCATCATCATTTTCAGCATCATCATCATTACCATAATCCACATCCTCATCCTAATCTGCATCATCAGCAGCGTCATCATCATCAATAGTATCATCATCAGCATCATCATCATAATTATCATCATCATCATCAGCATCATCATCATCATCATCATCAGCATCATCATCATTATCATCATCATCATCATCATCATCATCATCATCATCATCATCATCCCCACCTTGTTCCTCGTCATCGTCCTCCTCCTCTTCCTTCTCCTCTTTCTACTCCTCATCTTCCTCCTCCTCTTTCTCCTCCTCCTCCTCCTCCTCTCCTCCTCCTCCGTCTCTTTCTCCTCCTCCTCTCCTTATTGTCCTTCTCTCCTCCTCTGTTCTCTCTTCTCTCTCTCTCTCTCTCTCTCCTTCTTCTCCTTCTCCTCCTCCTCCTCCTCCTCCTCATCTTCCTCCTCCATCTCCTCGTCCTCGTACTCATTCTCCCTCTCCTCCTTCTCCTCCTCCTCCTCCTCCTCTCTTCTACTCTCCTCATCCTCCATCCTCCTCCTCCTCCTCCTCCTCCGCCTCCTCCTCTCCTCCGCCTCCTCCTCCTCCTCCTCCTCCTCCTCCTCCCTCCCTCTCCTCCTCCTCCTCCTCCTCCTCCCTCCTCCTTCTCCTCCTTCCTCATCCCTGTCCTCATCCTCCTTCCTTTTTCTCCTCCTCCTCATCCTCATCCCTCCTCCTCCTTCCTCCTCCTCCTCCTCCTCCTCCTCCTCCTCCTCCTCCTCCTCTCCTCTCCCTCCTCCTCCTCCTCCTCCTCCTCCTCGCCTCCTCCTCCTCCTCCTCCTCCTCCAATCCTCCTCTTTTTCCCTATCCTCCTCCTCCTTTCCACCTCCACCTCCTACCTCCTCCTCTTCCTCCTCCTCCTCCTCTCCTCATCCTTCTCTCTCTCTCTCTCTCTCTCTCTCTTTCTCTCTATGTCTCTCTCTCTCTCTCGCTCTCTTTTCTCGTCGTCCTCCTCTACCTCCGCCTCCTCGCCTCTTCTCACTCTCTTCTAATCCTCCTCCTCCTCCTCCGCCTCCATCCTCCCCTCCGCATCCTCCTCTCCTCCTCTGTCCTCCTCCTCCTCCTCCTCCTCCTCCTCCTCCTCCTCCTCCTCCTGCTCCTCCTCCTCCGCCTCCTCCTCCTCCTCCTCCTCCTCCCCTCTTCCTCCCCTCCTAATCCTCCTCCTTCCCACTTCTCCGCCTCTTCCTCGTCTCTCATTCCTCATCCTCCTCCTCCTCCTCCTCCTCCTCCTCCCTCCTCCTCCTCCTCCTCCTCCCCGCTCCTCTTCCTCCTTCCGCTTTCTCCTCCTCATTTTCCTCCTCCTCCTCCTTCCTCCTCCTCCTCCTCTCCTCCCCTCATCATCATCATCATCATCATCATCATCATCATCATCATCATCATCCTCCCTCCTTCTCCTCCTCCCCTCCTTCTCCTCATTCCTCCTCCTTGCTCCGTCTCCTCCTCTCCTCCTTCCTCCTCCTCCCTCCTCCTCCTCCTCCTCCCCCTCCTCCTCCTCTTCCCCATCGTCGTCCCCTTCGACTTCTTCTCCTCTGGTCCTCATCTTCTCCTCCTCCTCATCCTTCTCCTCTCTCCTCCTCCTTCTCCTCCTCCTCCTTCTCCTCATGTTTCTCCTCCTCCTCCTCATCCTCCTTCTCCCCCGTCTCCTCTTCCTCCTCTTCTTTCTCCTCCTTGCCGTCCTCCTGTTCTTCCTCCTCGTCCTCCCCTTTCTCCTCTTCCTCCTCCTCTCCCTTCCCGCTCCTTCTCCTCTTTCTCTCCTCTTCATCCTCCTCTCTCTCTCTCTCTCTCGTTCTGTTTCTCTCTCTCTCTCTCCTACTCCTCCGCCTCCACCTCCTCGTCGTCTTCCTCTTCCTCCTCGTCCTCCTCCTCCTCCTGTTTATCCCCCCTCTGGCGTGCAAAAACGGGAGCGCTGAAAAAGCGCACCAGGAAAGTTGAACAGCTCGGGAGTGTGAAGAACATTATTTCCCTTCCTCCTCCTCCTCCTCCTCCTCCTCCTCCTCCTCCTCCTACTCCTCCTCCTCCTCCGCCTCCTCCTCCTCCTCGCTCCTCCTCCTCATTCCTCCTCCTCATCCTCGTCCTCGCTCCTCCTCCTCATTCCTCCTACTCCTCCTCTGTTTCCTCCTACTCATCCTCCTCCTGTTCTTCCCTCGCCCTCTCACCCATGGTGGGAGGCCAGGTGTTCGGCCATGGCCACTTCCACCAAGCGCGGCCCGCTTGCCAGTCGCGCGGTTCGCCCACCTCCCTCAGGTTGCCAGAGCAGCGGCCAGAGGAGGCAGGGAGAGGAGGGAGGAGAGGAGGGAGGGAAGGAGGGAGGGAAGGAGGGAGGGAGAGGAGGGACAGGAGGGAAGGAAGGGGAAGGCGAAGGAGGGAGGAAGAGGGGCATAGGGAAGGGGGAGGGAGAAGAGAGGACAGGAGAGCAAGGGCAAACCAGGAGGGCAAACGGAAATCTCGAGTTTGCCAGAACGCGGGTTTGCCGACGCATTCTGACGAGCCCGTCCTTCTAGGCCTCCAAGATGGGATGGGAGTAGATGGGGGGATTGGAGGATCGCGACGCATCACCGATGCATCGCCGATGCGGCTCGATGTTGAGCCCGATTTCCTTTACGTCGACGTTGCCAATGCATCGCCGACGTCGCCGATGCATCGCCGATCCATCGCCGATGTATCGGCGCAGCGGCGCGATCCTCCGACCCCATCTACTCCGACCCCATCTAGGAGGCCTCTAGTCTTGTACTTCGACAGTCCATTTATGTGTAGGAGATTAACAGCGGGAGCTCGTGTCAAGCTTCGGATTGGGTCTCGTCATTTTCCTGGCGGCCCCGTCAGGCCAACCCGAGTTCCCCGAACCCAAGTCTGACGATTCCCAAAATGAGGGATGAACGAATTATTATTGCCCGTGGTCCTCCTCCTGCGGCCTCGAGGCGTCCTCCTCTGCTCCTGCTCATCCAGCTCCGGCTCCTACTGCCGTTTCCTTTCATTGTTTCTGCTCCTGTCCCATGTCCTGTTCTCTTGCGCCCTCCTCCCCTTCCCCTCTTGTTTCTGAGAATCTTCTCCGTGTCGCGCTACCAGTCGTCGTCGTTCGTCGTCGTCGTCGTCGTCGTCGTCGTCGTCGTCGTCGTCGTCGTCGTCGTCGTCGTCGTCGTCAGCGTCAGCGTCAGCGTCAGCGTCAGCGTCAGCGTCAGCGTCAGCGTCAGCGTGCGGCTGGTCGGTCGGCCCGTCGTCGTCCGTCGGCAACCGGCGGTCGTCACTCCCAGACCTTGCACGTCGCGGTTTCTTTACAGCGTGGACCCCCGGCGGTCTGGACTCCCCGTTCCCGGGACCGGGTTTCCTCCCAAGTCGGCGGCCTCGAAGACCTCCCAGACCCAGGGGGGGGGGGGCGGAGGCCCAGCTTCCGAAGATTTGGGGGAACCTCCCGTCGTGGTATCTGTGCACGGCAACAGGATGCGGGGGATGGTCGGACGGGGCCAGGACGAATATAAATCCGTTCCAGAGCGTTCCATAACGCTCTCGGAGCGCTGAAGGGCGCTCTGAGAAGGCCGCGGCGCCCAAGACATCCTCCAGAGCCAAGGAATCTCAGAGATTCCCGATTTATCCTCACCTGGTGTTATCCTCGTCTTGGCTTCGTCTCAGAGCTTGCTGCTTTTTGGTTCCGGGGCGATGATTGCCGTCACCAGGGGGGGACGGGAAGAGGGCCAGTGACCTCACGTTTCGCGCCGGCGTCTGGGAATGCTTAGGAATGACCGTGGACGGGTAGCAGCAGCATGTAGGTGGCGATGTGCACCATAGCGCCTGTGTGCACCCCAGTGCCTACGTGCACCACAGCGCCTGTGTACACCACAGCGCCTATCGCTTACGTGCACCACGGCAGCCGCGTGCAACACAGGGACAGTGTGCACCACAGTGCTTGCGTGCACCACAGCGCTTGTGTACACCACAGCGCCTGCGTACACCACATCAGCCGTGTGCAGCACACATCACACCACAGTGATTCCGTGCACCATAGCGCTTGCGCGCACCATGGCGCCTGTGCGCACCACAGCAACCGTACGCAACAGAACACCATTCATGCACCATCTGCATATATATACACACATATATATATACACATATATATATATATAGAGATCTACAACATTGTAAGGAATTCTTATGGCAAAATGGAGCGAGCGCCTGTGGATTTGTTTACAAACATCGCTCTATATTGGACTTGGAAATGAATCCTTATAGAACAAGGAGCGCCACAAGAATCTACGAATCCTCCCGGGTCCCCCCGCATCATCCTAACTCCTGAAGGAGTTCGCTTGAGGCGTGGGGACTTGCTGAGGCAATGCTGCGGAAGGGCGCTGTGGCACGGGGGCACGAGGAGGGAAGAGCATGGCATTCAATTTTCTGCACTCCCCTTGCATGGCGAGGTCAAAACTCATCGTACAAACGCACGAATGTCCTTGGGGTACCCTTGCGTCCTTGCCTCTGCCTTTCCGGGTGTTGGCAACTCGCCGCCCAAAGGTGTCATCTTCGGCGTCCAAGCCTTTGCGACCTTACCGCCCGTTTTAATTATAGATTTCCATTGTAGGTGTCCGCGGCAGATCCTCATTTACGCGTTCTTCTACTTATCCTGTGCACACGGGCGTTGTGGTGTACACCAGCGAGGTGTTGCACGCGGATGGTGTGGTGTACACAGGCGCTGTTGGGTGTACAGGCGCTGCGGTGCACGCAAGCATTTTGGTGTA